GCATCGCGAGTTCAACCCGGTTCAACCCAAACTGTAGCCGATGTGCACTCTTTCAACCGGTGCACTCGCATCTTGAACGTTTATGCCGGTGCACCGATGCGAATCGGTGAATCTTAACATCTCTAGTGTCGAGTAATCCCAGAAGCTTTTTGTGAAGCATGTATCGAGGCTTGTATCGTTTTGGGCCAGTGACGTCATCGATGACAAACGAAGCCTCGCTGCCTGTCGATACCACGTGACTGCTTCACGAAGCGATTCAGATCGGTTGAACCGTTGAACCACAACGCTCATAATACCCATGGATGTATAATAAGAACGATATTACCCCTCCTGTACCCGGGCCCGCTGGTGACACGATGGAATTAAAAGAGCTAAAAACCTCACCTATATAGAGGTCGGAACATGTCATAAGTATAAATAGATACAAGCATAAATAAATGTAGGAAAAAAAACATGAATGAATAAATACAGGAATAAATATGTTACAGTATTTTCAGGGAGATTCAGCGTGTGTGCTGTGGCTCAGCTGGAAAACAGTTGACTCACGATCGCAGGGTTCCTGGTTCAACGACTCGTCAATACGTCTTTTTTGTTGTTTATAAAAGCTACAGCTAAATGAGATAATGTAGTTAATAAATGTATTCTTTGATATGGTTTAGCCTTTCTCAGGCTACAACATGGTTACGTTTATGAATATTATTAAGGAATACAAATCCCTATTTGTAATTTTTACCAGCCTCCTTAGGCTTTTCAATCACAATCATTCAACTGGAATAAAAACAATATTGTTAACATGAAAATATGATTTAATGTTCGTTGTTTAGAGTTATTCTAAGGCTTTACTCATTGGGAACTCGGTATGAGATAGAGCACACTGTTGAGATGTCCAATCTGCCTGTTTTACACACTTTGACCAACAGGGGGTTTGTGTTCAAATGAAGCCCATGATGAAGCCTCATGAGATGAACCCTTTTGCGAACCAATTGGCTGGAAAGCTTCAAAGCTTCATAAGGCTTCATCTCGTCATCACTAGTTCAAACCTGAACGCTGTAGGCTACAAAAATGTAGCCGCAGTACCCTCGCGCAGCGAGAAGATGAAAGGAACAGATCCTCTGACGACACCGGCTGATATAGCCGGTGTCACGTGGGTCACAGGTGACTTTGTTGGTATTGGTACTCGAGCTGCGTATGCGCGCGATGGACATATCCAGTGCTGAAAGCACCGCCTCTGGCGGTCAGTAGGGACGAAATAGAACGACAGCTTTTGTAGCGATCTAAATTATAAGTTGGCTAGTCTTCTGTGATCTTTACAATGTGACACATGTTAACAGGTGGCTTATATAGCTCTGAGACCCAGAAAGAAAAAGGTTTCAAATTTCCTTTTTTTTTATAGATCACACAAGTCTTAATTTGTAGTACTCCATCCTTTTTGGAAATGCAGAGATACATCTGACACTTGAGGCACTTGATGTATGTTTTCCCACTGCATCCGTCTGCCATGAACACTACAGAAACCTACGTGTTAGTTTTGTGTTGTGTAAAATGGGGGAAAATAAAAAGTTAGCAAATCCCCATGTCCTCCTCAGAGGACATTCATAAAAACATTTAGTTTTAGGTTAAATAATTATTACACTGCTCTGAAACTCACTACACTAACTCCTAAAATGTTCCCTTACTATAATTAATAAAAATATATTGACCTCACAACACTGGTAATTACAAAATTACAAACTTACCATTTATCTTTCTATAAATAGTGCTTGTGTTGATGGACGCCATTTTGAAATACAATGAAATTATCTTTTTCAAAGCCACACCCCCACATATGTCACATGTCTGAAAAGCCCAGGATGTCCTCTGTGGAGTACAATTGGATTTAATGCTGTGGCATGTATAATCTCATAGTTATGGACCAAAACCAAATGTCCTCCACAGAGGACAACAATGAATGGGTGGGTCTCAGGAGGATAATTAAGACAAAGTAAAACGAGAAAGACCTGCAGATGGAACAGGATTTCTCAAAGCAGAAATGTTGGTCTGCCAACATTCCTTGCTCCTTATTTTTTCTCGCAATAATAATAATAATTCCTTACATTTATTATAGCGCTTTTCCAGATGCTCAAAGCGCTTTACAAATACACATTACACATATTTTTTATACATGCAATGGTCACTGTGGACAATACCCACAGGAGCAAGTTCAGGTGAAGTGTCTTGCCCAAGGACACAACGGCTTTACAGACGCAGCAGCGGCGGGTTTCACCCCTTGATCTGATGATCATTGCACAGCGCCACACCGTCCATCTTCACGCCTCGAAGTCATCGAGGTGCTTTTACAAGTACACATTGATATTATATATGTACTGTGGACATTACCCACAGGAGCAAATCCGGGTGAAGTGTCTTGCCCAAGGACACAACGGCAGCAGGAGCGGGTTTCGAACTGGAGTTCCCCAGCACCCCCTTGATCTGATGATCAGATGCACAGACCACTGCGCCACCCGTCCCCAATGACATGTCCCTGAGTTCAACGTGAGCCCATTAGAGTAAACAAACCAAATGATTGCCAGTGGTTTGCCAATGGGGCATGTGGGAGCTTGATGTGGCATGTTGCTTGATTTAAAGTTCCTATCTTGATGTGTATAGCAATATGCAAATAGTTTATATGAAAACACAAGGGCTTATATCATTCATCCTTTGAAGGTGGGGTAGGTAATTTTGGAGAAACCAGCTCGAGTGTGCCAGAGCCCTATAGATACTAGTATCTCTAGGGCTCTGGAGTGTGCCATAATTTGAAAATACGCAGCCGGAACAAACCTGCCACTTCCTTACAGAGCCCCTCCTCCAACACACACAAACGCACACATGACCAATGAGGGCACGAGATAAGTTTGTGCACAGATGGAAGGCTGACAGGCAGGTAGGCCATCCAGTTACTTTAGCCGGGCCTGCTTAAAATGATTGGTCGTGCTTTTTACAGTACTACGTCTTCCACAGATGATTTTTTTTAATGGATTTATTGTCAAAGCACATATTCATTGCTATCGGGATGTTAAGAGCATTCCATGGAATATAACAAAAAGTGTATCTCAAACTTAACCTACCCCACCTTTAACTGAGAGAAATTACCAGACTGTCACTGGACTATTTCATGGATTAATAATTACTTTGAATTGTTAGAACAAAAGAAGATATTTGAAAAGAAAAACAGTGAGTGATTTACCATAGAAGTTATGTTTTTGTAATTACTGATAAGTGCTTAAATGTAAACTTTATCATACGTCAATTTATTTTTGTTTAAGTAAGATAAACGTGTTCCTGTTCTTTATCATCGGCTTCAATAGACCTACTTTCAGTGCAGCCAGGGCAATTTGTGGTTTGTGTAACCAGCACAATTCCCACTGACACATGACTACAACAAGTCCAGGCAGGTTGGCAGATGAGGCCAACTGGCACGCTCGGGATGGAAGAAATCACACGCAGAAGAGGCAGATGGGTACAATGAAAAAGGTCACACCATAACGATATTTAAGCACAGTGAAATATCTGGGATGCATAAGAAAATCGTCCTTAATGTCTTCAGAAGTTTTTTTTGATGTCTTTAAAGACACTTTAGTTGGGTTTGAACTGTCCTGACTTATTTTGTAACCCACTGCTACCTTTTGCGTCACCCACTGCTACCTTTTAGATATAACGTGGTAAGGCTAAATTAAATCCACTCCGACAAATTAAGTGTATAAAGGATTACAGTTCTTTAGAGAGGCCAGACAACAGACAGCTGTTGTTGTGATGATGACATCATGTTTGTCTAGGGACAGTGGAGAAAGTGACAGCTGACGGGTACACTCTCAATGGTGGAGTGAGTAACTGAGTGAGTGACTGAATGTGTGAGTGCAGCATAGTTTTGATTTTCTGCCCTAACCTGAGGGCCAGGTTGGGCTGTTATTTATTAACACTCATTTGGACTTAAATCGGGTCAGGTTTTTTCCAATTTCCCTGAGTGACATTGACATTCTGGACCTATTAGGCACTGTGATAACAACTTTAGAAACTTCCTCAAGCTAAATGTCCTCACATTTAATGTATGATGTTTAATTATTTCTTGACAACATGTTTACATGGATATTTGTCTCCGGACTACTTAGTTTTTTCTGCTCATGTTGCTGTTCATTTCTTGTTGTATATTTCCTTTTTTGATTTTTTCCTTCAGTTGAGGTGAGGTCCATTGAATAATTGTGGCCTTTTGACCTCTCCTGTCACATTTGGTATTTTTGTAATTACTCACGGATTATATGCAGTTTTATGTGTGAGCAAATAAATACAATATATCCACATCCAACAAACATAGGAACTCAGAACAACAGAGAATCCGAAGACTATTTTCTAGCTTAGTAATGATTTCAATAAAATAGAAAGAAATGCACATTATGATTATGAATATGTAGACAGTCTTAAACCCAGCACACTTTTGTTATCACAGTATGTACAAAGCTGTAACCTTGATCTGGTCCTCATGGCCACTCTTTACCATAGAGATACCACTGAAACTGCCTGACCATCCTACTGTAATGTTCCTGACATTTGCAAACACTTTGCTTTCCAATCTTGAAGCTAAATGATAATAAAAAAACCTATAAAGTGCTTTGACTGTTATGATGACTGCATGAGTCATTTGCTCACAATTACAACCTGAAAGGAATGTGACTCAATTACTTCCTTGAAGCAGTAAAACCAAAATTCTCTCACTTCGCCCTTTCTATCTCAATCCCTCCTACCTATTCCACTCCCTAATTACCCTTTTTTCTCTCTCTTCCTCCATCACAAAATGTGCCTCCAATGCGTCCCTCAGGTCAGCCAATCACAGAAGAGAGGATGTGGCACCGATGCCACTCTCTCGCTCGTTGACCAATGAGCGCAGAGTCAGTGGGCAGGGCTCATGTTTGGGCCCTCCCAACTTCTCCGTTTCTCTGCCTCCTGCAGGCTGCGGCTAAACTTGCTGTCTCACTCATGCTTCCTGGCTTTACTCACATGCTCAGAGAGGAAGAGCTGTAGAGTCTTAGCAGCACATGAAGAAGCTCTGGCTATTTTGAACCACACAGGATTTGACTCTGGACATTTCAATATCTCTTTTGGCGCGTGACAGACTTGTATGTACTAGCCTGAGAGCAGACTTTAGAGTTTCTTTTTTTTTTACTTTTTATATTCAAGGTTTTCCCCCCATCTTACTGTAGGTGGTCTCGTGTGTGGCAGAGAAAGAGTGTGCGTGTTAGTCTGCATGTGTGTGTGAGAGAGAAAAGAGGACCAGGATGATTGCAGCCCAGCTACTAGCCTATTACTTCACTGAACTCAAGGATGATCAGGTTAAAAAGGTGAGTGTTTTCTGTTAATTCTTTCACCGCTTTTGATATTGTGTTTGTACTAGTGAGAGCTGAGTATGTGTTTGTAGAGGTCATTGAGTTTCTCATATACTGCCATCGCCATAACTTTGCTGTAAGACTCGAGTTTCCAGGAAGTCAGGTTACTTTCTGTATGTGATACATATCTGCAAGGAAGTGAATACAACACAAAGCATGTTGGGAGAGAAGTGGAGTCATTTTACAATGACCCAGATTTGTTTTTATTGTCAGACAAGTGAGACGTGTCAACTGCTCAGATGTGTTTGTGTAGTAACATTGGAAAGGAGACGTGACAGATTGGTGTGTGTGTTTCCTGGATGTACGTTTTGAGAGGTGTTGCAAGGGAGGAGAGAGGAAGTGAGAGGCAATGATGAAAGGACATACGAGCAGAGGGAAGAGAAGGTTGTAATTGAGAAGAGAGAGCAATGTTATGTTATGGGTCTCTATTATCATCTTGTTAAAATTATACCTGCACTTTCATTCATCTCAGCGCAGAAGAGTAGAAAGAGTGAGGAAAGGTCTTTTAAATAAGATGAAATATGCAGTTGTTTAGTACATTTACAGCAATTCATATGTTTGCTGCAGTCTGTTAACAACTGCCATGATCAGTAACACCGTAAAAATCTGAGGAATATTGTGTTTTCTTCCCATACCCAATGTCCACATGGTTTCTATCCTGTTAAAGTCGTCCTAATAATTGAAGTGTGTTTGACCTTAAAGAATGAGGAAAGCATTTAAATGAATGCACATATATATCAAAGAGTTCCTAAAGCTGATCATTCTAGCTTCTTTATGTATTGAAATGCCTGACTGAGTATGAAAAAGTTCAAGGCTGATGAGGAGAAGAGTGACTGAGCACCATGAATGTGTCTTTCATAGCTTCTCAGCTGAGCAGCCCCCACTGTAACACTTTCACTGGCTGGACCAGTTTTAGTTATGAAAGACACAGAGTGCGTTTAGTGGAGGAACTGAGCTTTTCCAGAACCCAACACTTCCCAATAGTTCTTCATTGAATGTGCCTAGAAATAATGTTGCAAACATACAAATACACACACAGCTCCATCCTGTAAACTATGGTCGACCCATAAAGTAAAATAGAGTCAGTGTAAATGGGTATTTATTCTAAGGCAATGTCTCAACATGTAATTGAACATATGGTACAGGGTTCCTTTAAGGTCGCTTCGCTACCAACTGGATATTTAAATGCTGCTCTTTTCCTGTATACATTGAAATAAGTTCCTAGCTATTGCATGTCTTTCCTCCATTTCCCTCTCTGTCTGAAGGCACATTGGAAAAGTCAGCATTTCAGTGTGTGCTCTGGGAAAAGGATCTTGAACTTTCTTTTTATATAAAGAAAAAGCTAAATTTTCAATGCGACTACCTATTGACTAATCTATTGTCAAATAAATGTTGCCCTGCACCCTAAATTGAGCATTACTAGTCTATTTGAACACAAACCATGATCTTTACCTAAACCTAAATCTGTGGTTGTGTTGCCTAAACTGTGATGTAATACAACACGTCTCCCTCCCTCTTTACTCCTGCACTCGACCTATCCATGCCTCCCTAAAATAGGCCAGCTTTGAACCATGTGACCACAGGTGACAGGAGAAGAGGGCTTACACACAAATACACTGACACACACCCACACACTGTGCCAGGTGTGTAGCTATTGTGTAGCTGTTGAAAGAGCAGGGCTTGTCTCAGCCTCAACTTCAAATGTGGCTCAAACGTAGCTCAGGATTTAAGCATTCACTAGGGAAAGTATACAGATAATCCCATCAGTAATGTTTTTTGGACAAACTGTGTGTAGCTGCTGATGTTAAAGAACCGCAATCAGCTGAGTGCGTCCTCTCTTCACTCAATCCACTGCAGTGTCCTTGACTGTACTCTTTGATACACTTTTAGCGAGCATCCAAAGTGGTGTTTCAGTGTGTGTGTGGCAAACAGGAAGGTGCAATAGAGGGCATTGTAGAGAGGACATTATTTTTCCACATGGTGAGGCCTTGCGTGCGCACACACACACACACACACACACACACACACACACACACACACACACACACACACACACACACACACACACACACACACACACACACACACACACACACACACACACACACACACACACACACACACACACACACACACACACACACACAGGAATCAGGTTTCAATGCTTTCTTGAACCACCTTGTGGCCACAGACAGACAGACAGACAGACAGACAGACAGACAGACAGACAGACAGACAGACAGACAGACAGACAGACAGACAGACAGACAGACAGACAGACAGACAGACAGACAGACAGACAGACAGACAGACAGACAGACAGACAGGGCCTCATGTCACCTTATCAGGAAATGTCCCTTTGCTCAACACTAGTGGAAAAACTGGAAACTCCTCTTTTGGTTAATAAAAAGCCTCATGAGCATGGATCATGCACAGTATTTTTCTGTGCCTGTTAGTCGTGGGAATCCATTGCCGGAGATCCGAGCTGTGAGATCAGCTGATGCTCTGCTACAATAAAGTGCTTATGCATGGTTTCTCCTGCTGAGTCATAGATATTAATTGATATCCTGCAGCAGGAGTTCAGTGGATTTCTCCTGGTTTGTTGTTGAGCATTGTTGACAATAGCTGCTTTTAATCCACCCCTTTGTTACACAGCAATACCAGCTAGTATCATTGTCATTTAAAGGTGGGGTAGGTAAGTTTCAGAAACCGGCTCGAGATACACTTTTTGTTATATTCCATGGAATGCTCTTAACATCCCGATAGCAATGAATATCTTAAGTGCTTTGACAAAAAATTCATAAAAAAATGTCATCTGTGGAACCCGTAGTACTGTAAAAAGCACGACCAATCCGTTTAGCCGGATTGCCGCCCTGTCTGTCAGCCTTCCATCTCGTGCACGCACAAATGTATCTCGTGCCCTCATTGGGCGTGCCGTCATTGGGTGTGCATTGCACGTTCATGTGTGTTGGAGGAGGTGCTCTGTAAGGAAGTCTGAAGGAAGGGGCGGATTCTTTTCGGCTGTGTACTTTCAAATTTTAGTGCACTCGAGCCGGTTTCTGAAACTTACCTACCCCACCTTTAAATAGACAAGTAGCTACAGATGCATTTTTGTTCAAAAGGCTGATAGGAACATGTTGAGAATTCACACAGTTTTCATCTTATGTTAAAACGAGAACAGAAATTGGCAATGTGATGATTGGAGGAATAACTATTAGGACCAATGAGTAGCAGCACAGGAAGGCAGCAGCAGCAGCAGTGTACCTGTTGGCATGAGAAGATAAAAATCTGAATGGATCTGTTTACATCAGCTGACCGCGCAAGAGTTGTTATGCACTATAGGAAACTAATGCATGTATAATTTCTTCATTTACCAAGATACCAAACTTTGTGAAGACGTATAATTATATTTATCAACTTTTATGACCACAAAAAGCTGACTCAAACCTTGAAATACTAGATCAACTTATCAAACTTCACATTAACATGCTAGCAAACATTGGTCAACTTTACTTAAAACAGTATTGATTTTCACTTGCATACCATATTGTAATTTGACAAAATTATGATTTTGTTTTGTTTGTGTCTTTATTTGATAAGATAGAGCTTTATTGTCTCCCTTAGGAGAAATGTGTCTTGGGCATCGAGATAATACACATAAAACATTCAGGTCAATCAGTCATAGATACAGAACAGAGATCACATATCACATGGCAAAGAAACAAACAAGAAACATACAGAACTTTCCCTATTGCACATACATAATCAAATATTGCACTTTCCCCTATTGTATTTATACACAAATCAATATTGCACTTTCCCTATTGCACCTATGCATAGTGTCCGTCAAATTGTACATATCCCTATTGTGTCAATACCTATTTACACATAATGCACTTCCCCTATATAACCTTCTCGATTGCACAAACTACACTGCAAACATTGCACCTCCCAACAACTCCTAACACAGCATAATCACAATTGTTTCTGACTGTTCAGCAGCTTGATTGACAGCGGAACAAAGGAAAACTTATACCTGTTCAATTTACAGTTTGGTAATCTATACCTTCTGCCGCAACTATACTTCGGCAGCAACTCAAACTCAAACTCTCTATACAGGATGTGTTTGGGGTCGCTTGTGATCAAAATATGCTACCTAAAACACACACAACACTACTCCACTGCCAACTGCTTGTTTGAACGTATTATGCTAGTAGCGGCTAATGTAGCCTTAAGCCTCAAGCATAGATGAGGAGCAGGCTATTGAAGAATGCTAAGCTGACTTCCTACTCCACACCTTTTTTTTTTATTATCTGCAAATTAGGAGCTTTAAGCACCGAAATATACTGACTGTAATTACACAGATTTCCTGAAGTAGCATTTGGTTAGCTGATGACTTGAGGCTTCAGTGTTTGTCTGTTTCTCAGAGACTTCCATCATTTAGACTTGATGAACTCAACCACATGGACTAGTGAATCAAAACAATGAGCTATAGACTACAGAGCTGCCGACTAACATATTGATTTCAGATGTAATCACCATTGCTGGCAGCTGTTTTAACATTTGGCAAAAACCAAGGGCTTTCTCTGCCAGAAGTTATATTACGTTTAAGAGTGTTTTACAAGATTATGGAAAAACGTTCAGATTTTCATGAAACTTGGTGTAAAGGTGTAGCACATTTACTCCCTGCATGGGGTGTCTCAGGAAGACACTGTAGATATTTGTGATGCAGTTGCTCTCATCCAACTCTGCTTTCATTTCACTATATTAGACAGCTCTGACCTGCTTCAAAAAGACCACATGCAAAAATGCATAAACAAATGCAAAAGCATAAAGCTACTTTTGCATTTTAACCAGTCTATGATTTTAACCTGTCAAACACACAATGAAAAAATAGCATGCTAATTTACCATGTTGACTTTCAAATACTCTGCTTTAAACAATGGTGTCACCTC